AGGCATATTTAGAGTCAGTATAAATTGTGACCCTCTTCCCAGCTGCCAGCTGTAACGCCCGGGTAAGAGCTACTACTTCGGCTTTCTGGGAGGTGGTCCCAGATGGGAGTAGGTTTGCTTCTATCACCTGTGACAGAGTCACCACTGCATAGGCCACCCTTATCACCCCATCACTCCCCTTCACCGAGCTTCCATCTACAAAAAAGGTCAAGTCAGTGTCCTCGAGGGGAACATCTTGCAGGCCCTCTCTAGGTTTTCTAAGAGCCTCTAAGAGCCTCTACAATCTCTACACAGGAGTGAGTGGGCTGATCTGCCTGATCGCTGATGGGAAGCAAGGAGGCTAGGTTAAGGGGTGGAGAGACTTGTAGGGTTACCTGTGGATGTTCAATAAACAGGAGGTGGAATTCCTGTACCCTTGAAGGACTCAAGGAGGCCATGGATCTATGACTCCAAAGATCTTGTAACCAGTGTGGGGAATACACAGTAATGGGCTGTTGGAGAGTTAGTTTCAGGGCTTCTTGGGCCAGACTTCCCGCAGCTGCCAGGGCTTGGAGGCAAGGCTGCCACCCTCTGGTGGTGGCATCTAACTGTTTGGAGAGAAAGGCAACAGGACAGCACCCCGGCCCCACTGGCTGTACCAGCACTCCGGTGGCCACCCCTGCCCTCTCTGCTGTATATAGGGTAAAGGGCTTAGTTAAGTCGGGGAGCACTAATGGGGGAGATGAGAGCAACGCATCTCACAACTGATTGAAAGCAAAAGCCACTTTGGCGGGTGAAGTTAGCGGCCCAGTAGGAGTCTCTGTGGCAGCCACATAGAGTGGTCTCGCCAGAAGGACAAAGTTAGGTACCCAGTGTCTGAAAAACCCCACCAATCCTAGAAAGGATAGTATCTTGGCTCCTGAAGTAGGTGGTAGGAGAGCTTTAATCACAGCTGCTCAGTCCACCATCAGGGCTTTAGTGGTGGGAGTTAGAGTTAGCCTGAGGTATGTAACCTGAGGTAGAGACAGCTGTGCTTTGGCAGGGGATACCCTGTATCCCATGTCTGCCAGAAAATTAAGAAGGGATGTGGTGTCCAGGACCAAGGCCTCCTTTGAGGGGCTGCAAAGTAAAAGATCATCCACGTATTGGAGGAGAGTACTCTCGCCCATTGAATGTCATGAGAGGTCTTCTGCCAGGGCCTGTCCAAAAAGATGGGGGCTATCTCTAAAACCCTGAGGTAGAACTGTCCAGTTCAATTGTCTAGACTGACGGGTGTCAGGGTCTTCCCACGTAAAGGCAAATAGTGGCTGGGAGTCTGAGTGGAGAGGTATAGTGAAAAAGGCATCTTTAAGGTCCAGTACAGTAAAATGAGAGGTACCAGAAGGGACCTGAGACAGAACAGTATATGGGTTAGGCACTATTGGGTGTAAGGGAATAACAGCCTTGTTAATTATTCAGAGGTCTTGAACGAGGCGATATGCTCCAGAAGGCTTTTTTATCAGCAAGATGGGAGTATTGCATGGAGGGTTAGTTGGTACTAAAAGCCCCTACGAGAGTAGACGATTAACAATAGGCTGTAGTCCCCTTCAGTGAGCCTGCAAAATAGGAAATTGAGGCCAAGAAGGGAAGCAGGATGGGTCCTTAAGGCATATTAAAACCAGGGTGTGGTGGGTTGCCACCACAGGGGTGGAGATGTCTCACACGACTGGATTGACAGCAGTCCAGGGAGTTGGGAGACTCAGGTCCCTGTCGTCCAACCCCCCTTCGCCAACCAAAGCAATGAGGGAGTTTCTGGCTTCCTGTAAGCATTTAAAAGGTGGGAGGGAAATAGAGGCTCCTAACTTATAGAGCAAATCCCATCCTAACAGAGGGGTAGGACAGGAAGGCATGACTAGAAAGGAATGGGTAAATGGGATGCCTTGGAAGGTGCAGGCCACCGGGCCTGTCTCTAAAGGCTTGGAGAGGGTTCCCACGACCCCAACTATGGAGATCCTGGCAGGGTTCAACGGCTCTTTAAAGGAGGGGAGAACAGAGTAGGTAGCCCCCATATCCACTAAGAAGGAGATGGGCTTACCCACTACCCACAGCTTGGCCCTGGGCTCAGAGAGGGTGATTGGGGTGTCCGAGTCCAGGCGTCTTCAGTCTTCAAGGACGCCCAGCAGGTCTGAAGGGTAGTCCTTCGAGGACATCCACCCCCGTGGGGCTCTGCCGCTGGAGGAGGACCACCCTTGAGTGGACAGTCTACTTTCCAATGACCTCGCTTACTGCAGCTGTGGCATGGTCTGGTTGGTCTGCATGGTTGGTTGGGGCACTTCCATGCCCAGTGCCCTTCTTCGCCACACTGAAAGCAAGGGCCCAGAGGTTTGAGTCGATCTTCAGGGACACCCCGATGATCTCCATGAGCCGGCAGCAGAGCAGCTGTTATGGCGTGAGTCTGTTCTGCCATTCGGGCAGCTGACCTCCTCTTGTCCTCTTGGGCATGAAAAACTTTAAATGTCATACCTACCAGGTCTCCTAGAGGGGTCTGGGGACCATCCTCAGCCTTTTTAAGCTTGCACCTGATGTCGGGAGCTGACTGAGTTATAAAATGCATGGCCAGGAGAGAGGAACCTAACTCTGAGGCCGGGTCAGTCTTAGTAAAAGTTCCTAGAGTTTCTTTTAGGTGCTTGAGGAATTCTGATGGGTTTTCATCAGGTTTCTGGGTAATTTCTCTAAGCTTATCATAATTGATAGCCGTTTGGGTGGTTGAGTTCATACTTGCCAATAAGTAGTGAACCATGCAATCCCGGCATGCTTCACCCTCAGGAGAATTATAATCCCACAGGGGTTCTTGTAGAGGAATAGCTTCTCTGCCCATAGGTTCCCGCTCATCTGTGGCATGGGCTTCATTGCACTGTGCTGTGCCGCTGACGTGACATGGTCATATTCTTCCGGGGTTAGAGTGGATTGGAGGACTACATGTACATCATGCCAGGTGAGCTTGTAGGCTCGAGTGAGATATTTAAACTGCTTAGCAAACATTCTGGGGTTGGAGGAAAAGGGCCCCAATCGCTGTTCTACTTGGGACAAGTGCGCTAAGGAAAAAGGAACATGAACCTGCACTACTCCTTCAGCCCCTGCTACCTCCCTCAGAGGAGCCATCACATGAGCTTGAGACCACTGTGACTTAGAGCGGGTTACAGGATGGCTAGACCATTTGGGCACCAGCCGTGGCAAGTAAGACGGCAGCGGGTTTGAAGGAGGGGACAGAGGGGGCAACCTTGGCAGTGGGGGATACAACCTTGGAATCGATGCAGAGCTTGAAGGCAGGGGACTGGGGTATGGGGGAGTTTTATCTGCTTTATCTTAAGTGTAGTTGGCACCTGTGGAGCAAGATGGAGGTGTGACTGGAAGAGAAGGGGAACAAGATAGTGGAGAAACCAGAAGAGAAGGAGAACAAGGTGGTGGAGAAACCATAAGAGAAGGAGAACAAGGTGGTGGAGAAACCATAAGAGAAGGAGAAAAAGATGGCGGAGAGAAACATTGAGGAAGGGGGCTTGCCCCCGCGGTGGGCCAGGAGGAGCGGGAAGGGGGGTAGCCGAGATCCTCCACTGAGTCCATCAGAGAAGAGCCTCCTAGTAATAGGAGAGGTAGAGATTGGCAGTCTCTGGCAGAGGCCTGGGCTAACAAAACTTGGGAAGGAGCACACTTAACACACAAATCTGGGCAGGTGCACAGAGTCCAAAAAGCCTGCCCTTATGGGATTTCACTCCACTTTCCACTCCGATGGCAATAATTAGTTATCCGATGGCAATAATTAGTTAAGTTGGTGAGGAGGCCGAAATTGAAAGTTCCCTCAGGAGGGCAGCGAGATTGGTTGTCCAAGGGATACTGAGGCCTGGCCTCAGAGCAAAGGAAGACCAGCTTCCATTTGCAAAATTCCCAGGACAAATATAGAGTAGCCAAATTAGAAATGAGACCCCGCTACAGGGTCTGGGCCTCCGCTTTTGAGGGCTGGTTCCCCATGTCTGCATCACTCCCCAACCAATTCCACTGAGAGGAGCGCCCAGCATCCCAAGTGCGCCGAGTCAGGGGAGACGTCCTGGGAGCCTGGGTGAGGGGTGTCTCCCCCACCGCAGGGCCAGGGGTGGGCCGGATGCCCGCAGACATCCTGGGGCCTGGGTTAGGGATGTCTCCCACATTGCAGGGCCAGGGGCAGGCCGTATGCCCACAGAGGGTGGGCTGGATGCCCCACCCTGGATGTAACTACGATTTCGAATGGACCAGGTGAAATGGAGTTAAGAAGGGAAACAGTCAGGAGGAAACTGAGGGACTCACTTGAAAATGATCCACGCAGAGGAGAGCAGGCTGAAGTCTCAGGTCTCGGGGAAGGAGAGGGTAGGGCTGCTGGTGGCCAGTTGGGGCCCCACACTCACGCTCCTTCCTGGGATTTTGGTACCAAATGTAAGATAAATTCCAATGTAAGATAAATTCCAACCGAAATAAACAGGCAACGAGAGGCAACAAAGGGCCAGGAAGTTTACTTGAATGCGAGTCCCTGGTGATGTTCCTCGGTCTGAAACACAGGCCGGGGAAGTCACCCCCAGCAGGGTAGGCAGCAAGTTTTTAAAGAAGGCAGGGGGAGGGACAGCAAAGGTGTACAGTGGCTCAAGGATTGGCTCGCCTAGGGTATGTGGGCATCTCTCATTGGCCTTTAGCCAGGTACTGGAAAGTTACCACTAATCTAGCTTGGGGGAAGGGCTCTAGTTAGGAAAGTTATCCGATCAGGCTCTGGAATATTGTCAGACCGGAGCCTGTTGGTCTCTTCACCTTGCTTGGGGAGTCCTGAGCTTGTCCAGCAGGCTCACTCCTTCCCCTGGTGCCTCCAGCCTTACATTAAGTAGGTATTTTTTATTAGAAGTAGATATCATTGTTATTTTATAACTGAGGAAACCAGGAATCAAGGATTCAAGCCAGCTCTGACTTCAAAGCTCATGATCTTTCTACTTTTTTCCACCTACTTTATTTAATGTAATTTACAGATAGCACTTCCTTCAAAAGAAATACAGAGTTCTGGGTATACTTCTGAAATACCAGTCAATCACCAGAAGGATGTCACAGTGGAGGGTGTACAGAGTTCCCAAAGTGTCACAGTTTGGTCCCCAGGCATTTCTTGGTATCTTAGAGCATCTTGGGAGAATTGCCAGATGCCTGACACAAAGCAAAGCTTGGCAAGCTTAGAACCTTTGGAAGAGGATATGGCTTTGAATGAAGTCTTACAGAAATTAAAATATACTAACAAAAAGCAGCAAACTCTGATCCAAGGCCTACAGTGTAGTAACATGCATTTAGAGAAGAAGGTTGAAGAACTACAGAGGAAGGTTACCAAATAGCAAGTGTTCATTGAAGTCATGAATGAGCTAAAGAAGAAATTTGAAGAATTAATTCAAGACAAATACAGGGTAAAACTAGAGAAGAGGGATACTGACAAGGCATTGCAGAATTTGCATGAAATTTTAATCAACACCCCAAAACATCTTAAGGAATCTAGGAATGACAAGGAAACCTTACAGCTAGAGCTTAAGAAGGTCAAGGGCAATTATGTTCATCTACAGGAAAGATACATTACTGAAATCCAACAAAAAAATGAAACTGTGAGTCAGTGCATAGAGATGGACAAAACCTTAAGCAAAAAAGAAAAAGAGATAGAGCAACTGCAGCCACTCAAAGGAGAGCTGGAAAAGGCCAGCACTTCTGCTTTGGACTTGCTGAAAAGGGAAAGAGAGACCCGAGAACAAGAATTCCTGTCTTTACATGAAGAATTTCAGAAATGTGAAAAGAAAAACCTGAAAGAAACACAGAAAGTGAAATCTTGACTTGAGAAATTGATCGCTCAAGTAAAAAATTTGCAATTCGTATCTGAAAATGAAAAGGCTAGGAATACAAAACTTCAGCAGCAGATCAATGAAGCAAAAACTGAAAATGCAAAACTTCAGCAGGAAGTTGCAAGAAGCAAGGAGCCAAATTATATCCCTACCTTTGAAGCAGCCCAGGTAAAGTAGCACATAGAGGAGGTTATGCAGACAGATGTCACAATGTATTGTCACAAATTTAGAATCTCTAAGGCAGAATTTCAGGAGTTTCTAATAATCCAGTGATGCATATTTAGTAGGTATAGCATTTACACAAATTTGTTTCCAGAAAGAATTTATTAACCAAAAAATGAGAGGATAGAAAAGGTACCACAGGTTTGAAGGTTTCTTTAGTTCTTGGACACTCACATTAAAGAGCCGCCATTTCTGGCCTGTTAAAAGTTATTTTGGTAGAGGTGAAAATTAACATGGGAATTTTGTGGATACCTACCTGAAACGTCCTTTGAGAGAATTTCTAAGTGGGTATCAAGTTTTTGATGCTGGGGTTCTTGTTCACAACACCGAAGAATGAGCCTCACAAACACTCAAGGTAGGAGAGCAAGGTACAGGCTTTTATTTAGAGATAAAGTGAAAGACAGAGCTCCTGGTTCACACCAGGAGGGGACAAGAGAGTCCATAGTGGTGCATTGTCTAGAGGGTTTTATAGGCAGTTGAGGATATTTGGGAACATGAAAAAGAGTTTAAGGGTGTGGACTTGTTAAGTGGTCTCTGAATATTAAAAAGTAACATAAGGAATTTCCTGCCTTGATTTCTCTCTGGGACACCAACGTCTTGGTCTGGGAGCATATCAAAAGGCTGCCTGCCCAGCCCCCAAGGTGGGCTGAGGTATTGTCTATTTGCTAAAGAATCCTGCCTCTTGAACTTCCTGGGTGTTAAAATGCAATCTTATCTTTACAGTGGAATTCTTCCTGCCTTTTACCAGGCCGTCTACAGCGGGGTCTGCAGCTAAGTTAGTTGCTCAGTTTGCAAAATCACCTTGTCAGATCTGAAGGAGGAAAGACAGCACATAGGCCTGGGCCTTTTAGTATGCTAAAGTGAATCTTACGATTACAAATGATTAGCATAATAAAACGTGTTACTCTTCTTGATCTGGGGAACATTCACTGATCGCACTGAAGAATGATTCTAGAGCTTAATGTTCAATAGAGTTTTAGTAGGGGGGGTTCCTTGCATGTAGTTACATTGCTCTGACTGCAAACATCCCGCCCTGCCCCCTCCGGAGGCCCTCACCCTACTCTGACTACATCAATGGTCCCTGTCTCATTCCCCCTCTACAGATAGAGACTCTAGCTGCTGCTAGGGAAAAGGGGCAATGACCGCCCTGACTGCTTCATGCTGAGAGGGGGCGCAGTAAGGGGTGCAGCTAGGTCTCCATCAGTGGTTGGTCAGAAGGGCCTCGGAAGATGGAAGTTTCCATCCTGGGTTCTATTGCCATCACCGTCTGTAGTTTTATGGCTTCTAGGCAAGATAGAATAAATCGTGTTATTAGATTAAGTAAACAGGGGCCAAATATTAATATAAGGAGAATGGTGAATGGTGAGCTTAATAAGTAGAATAGATTTCCACCAAAAGGATTTAGAAACTCAGTTCTATATTGTAGTAGTCCATGGGACTAGTGGGTCTGACATAGCTTGGACTTACTTTCAGAGGTCCTGGAGTGAATCAGACATTTTGTGAATAATTTGGAGTATACACACAACACTCAGTTTTGATTATGGTGCAGGTCCCTCTTTGTGCTGCTGTTAAGATGTCTAATGCTATTCTTTAGATAGTATCATTTAAGGCCTTTTGTCTTTTAAGGTATTATTAATGGGCCAGAATTTTACATTCCAATTAGTTATTTCAACACTTAATACTTTGTGGGCAGTGTATGCATCATTTTTAAGAATTTTTAATTGTAACTAATTATGTTCCCAAAAAGGAGACACCCATTAAGGGATTCCTGAGGTACTAGAAACAGGAAGTAATCTGCATATCTAATGATGAACTTTTATTTAGGTAAATCTTCAGCTGAAGTTAAAAAGGAATCAAATTCATTTATTACAAAAAGGGTATTAGGGAATAGCAAATAGAAGAATAATATAGACTTCATATTGATTTTATAGGAGGAGATTTCTAATAACAGAGATGAGCATGCTATATTCATGAGTACAGAAAAACTGTAGTATTCAGAAGGCACGGAGTACTTATCTTAAGCATCTTTAGTTGAGTTTTTTCTTTTTAAATCGTAGTTTCAAGTCTTTTAAAGCTCAGGTTCTTGAGCTTTGGTGCCCTGTGCAATGGGTTCTTTATCTGTGTTGTCTGGGAGGTCTTGGGAAGAGATTTTCCAGGCCTTTATTCTGGAGTGGTGAATCCAGGCTTCGATACCTGACTGTGACAGCAGTAGGAGAAGAGAGTATAGCAGTCTGGGGCCCTTCCCAGACTGGATTAAGAGTTGGAGAATTAGAAGGAATTGACTTAATTAGGACTTGATCTCCTGGTTCAAAGAGGGGTACCCCAGGGGTTCTATTTTGTCCTTCAAATAGATTTTGAAGGAGTGCCTGGAATTTAGCAAGGTGTGTCACATACTGGATTATTTCTGTGACTTCTCTGTCCATGATTAAATTATTCTTTAAGAAAGGTCTTCCATAGAGCATTTCAAAGGGGCTTAACCCCAGAATTTTGGGAGTGTTTCTTATTCTTATTATGGCTAATGGCAGTAGGTCAGGCCAGGGCAAGTGAGTTTCTTGTGACAGTTTCCTTAAATGTCATTTTATGATGTCATTAGTCTTTTCTACTTTGCCTGAGGATTGCGGCCTCCAGACACAGTGTAAATTATACTGAATACCAAGGGCTCGGGGACACTCCTTGAGTGAGGGCTACTTTAAATGCTGGGCCACTGTCACTGTAATCCTTGGGGCATCCCAAATCGGGGAATAATTTCATGTAAGAGTACTTTTACTACTTCTTTTGCTTGTTCAGTTTTACAGGGGAAGGCAACCCAACCTGTGAATGTATCTATCCACACAAGGAGATACTGGGGTCCTTTTGCCATAGGCATATGTGTAAAATCTATTTGCCAGTCTTCGGGTATCTGCCTGCTCGCTGTAAACCAGGAGGAGCAGCTTTTTTATTTAATGGGTTATTTCTTTGACAGATCTCACAGGCTTTAGTGATTTGCTCTATGGTCTTTAATAGACTACTGCCTGCAAAAACACTTTTGGCCATCTGATAGGTATTTTCTATACCTAAATGGAAAGTCTGGTATAAAGTTTTAAGAACTTTCCATTCTATACTGTGAGGTAAGTAAATTTTCTCATCTTCCGTCTGAAGCCAACCAGAGGGAAGGGGAGAACTGCCTTTGGAGAGGCCATCTTGCAGCTCTTTTTTACTATAGGTGGGGATAATATTAGCCGGCACACCTGTCCATAAGAGAGGGTCTTGGATAGGTGCCTTATGAGTTTCTCGAGCTGCCTCTTTGGATTTTGTATCAGTTCACCTGTTTCCTTCTGTTATTTTATCTGTTCCTTTCTGGTGGCCTCTGCAGTGAATAACTACTTCTTTAGGCTTATGCACAGCTTGAATAAGCTGGTTAATTTCACTATGGTATTTGATAGGAGAACCTTCAGAATTTAAAAAGACTCTTTGTTTCCATATAGCTGCATGGGCATGCAGCACTAGGTAGGCATACTTAGAGTCAGTATATATATTGACTCTCTTTCCTTTTCCTATTTCAAGGGCCCGAGTGAGGGCTATTAATTCTGCCAGCTGGGCACTCATGCCTGGTGGAAGTGGTTGGCACTCGATAGTATCCCACAGCGTGACAACTGCATAGCCAGCTTTCCGCTGGCCTTGCTCAATAAAGGAGCTGCTGTCTGTGAAGAGGACAAGCTCTGGGTTCTTTAGTGGGGTGTCTTTTAGATCTTCTCTGGCAGAATAGTTTAGGGGAAGGACCTGTTGGCAGTTATGTTCAGGTCCTTTGCTCATGAATTCAGGTAGAAAAGTGACTGTGTTTAGGGTGGAGCATGTCTGCAGCTGGGTGACAGGGCCCTCCAGGAGTGACTGATATTTTAGTAGCCTGCTGTCTGACAGCCACAGGTTTCCCCAGGTGCTTAATAAGCTGGTGATGTTATGGGGTGCATGCACTATTAAATCTTTTCCCAGGGTCAGCTTTGTGGCTTCAGGTACTAGCAGGGCTACAGCTGCCATAGATCTCAGACAGTGTGGCCAGCCCTTAGCTACTGGGTCTAATTCCTTGCTTAGATAGGCTACGGGCTGCTGCATTTCTCCTCGAGGTTGAGTTAGTACTCCCAGCACCACTCTTGATCCCTCAGTAACAAATAGGTTAAACCGGTTTCCAGTGGGCAGGCTTAGGGCACGGGCCTGGAGCAGGGTTTTTTTCAAAGCCTCATAAGCTTTAATGGTATCAGGTTCCCACTGGAGTTTTATGGTGTCTTCTTTTTTGGCTTCTTTAAGGAGTTGGTAGAGGGGTTTGGCTAACTCTCCATATCTGGGGACCCAAATTCTGCACTATCCAGTGATACCCAAAAATCCCCTCAGTTGCCTGATAGTAGAGGGTAATGGGTGGCAGAGAGTGGGTCATATTCTCTCTTCTCCCAGGGCTCTGGTTCCCTGAGTGGTTAAGGCCTAAATATTTTACATGCTGCTGACAGATTTGTGCTTTCTGTAGGGAGGCTTTATAGACACAGCTAGAAAGTTTAGTAATTTCTTAGTACCTTCCTGACACTCTGCCTCTGGGGTGGCACAGAGCAGTATATCATCCATATATTGGATGATTTCTGCTTCCCCTGTATTAAAAGAAGCTAGGTCTTTAGTTAAGACTTGCCCAAATAGATGTGGGCGATCTCTAAATCCTTGGGGCAAGTCTGTCCAGGTTAATTGAGTTGAGGGATTTACAGGATCCTCAAAAGCAAAGAGAAATTGGGACTTTCTGTCCCAAGCGAGCAGGATACAAAAGAAAGCATCCTTCAGGTCTAGCACAGTAAACCATGCTGCTCCCTCAGGAATCCTGAATAACAGGGTATGGGGATCAGGTACTACTGGATGTAGGGGCACAACTGCTTCATTAATGGCTCACAGGTCCTGTACAAGGCGCCAGCTTCTATCTGGCTTTTGTACTCCTAATATGGGAGTATTGCAAGGGCTGTTACAGGTTAAGAGGCTTTGAGCCTTTAAGTTTTTAATAATTGGCTTTAAACCTTCATGAGCTTCTGGTTTTAAGGGATACTGCCTTTTATGAGGGAAGTAATTAGGATCTTTAAGATGAACTTGTATTGGTTGGGCTGATTTTGCTTTTCTAATGATTCCATTAGTTGCCCAGACTTCAGGATTAATGTCTACTCCCACAAGGGGAAGATTTTGCTTATCTTTTTCTACGTTCATATGTACAGAAGCTTGTACTTTAGAAAGTATATCACGGCCTCGAAGCGGCGTTGGACTTCCTGGGATTACTAGGAAGGCGTGGGAGAACAGCACTGAGTCCCATTCACAATTTAAAGACTGAGTAAAATATTTGGTTATTGGCTTCCCAGATATGCCTAATAGTAACTGGAAGGAAAGAGGGCCAGGATTACGGAGAAGGACCGAATAGGCGGCTCTGTATCCAGCAGGAAACCGATGGTGTGGCCTCCTACGGAGAGAATCAACCAGGGCTCCTGTGGAGTTATGATGGTGACAGGAGCCAGCATGGGCAGCCTCGGGCCCCTTCAGTCTTGACCACATTGTTGCTAGTCTGACCCCAGTTGCCTACACCTCTGAGGGCAGTCCTGCTTCCAGTGGTCTCCTTGACAGAGTGGGCAGGGCGTTGGCAGTTTGGAGTGCCTGCCCATAGGGCACTCTTGCTTAAAATGCCCCTCTCTGCCACAGAGGAAACAAGCCGCCCAGGGCCTGGTCCCTGGGGTTGGTCTCCTTTTCTCCAACTTTGGAGGCCCAAAGTTGACTCTCTGTAAGGCCA